GTAGTAGTAGTAGCCGACGGTCGTTGATCAGCCGGCCGGCCGGCCGGCTGGGCTGTGGATCTTGGCCGGCCGGCCGGCCGGCTGGCTGGACCGTGGATCTTGGCCGGCCGGCCGGCCGGCCACCGTGGATCTTGGCCGGCCGGCCGGCCAGCTGGACCGTGGTTCTTGGCCGGCCGGCCGGCCGGCTGGCTGGCTGGCTGATCGAGAAATAGCGGGCCGCGATAAGCTCGCAATGTGAATACGACTAAGGATGATGTCCTGTGGTCGAACACCTTGTCTTTAGCCGAGTCTTAAGGGAGAATGACCGGAGAGCTTGTACTATTTAACTTTTAGCTGATTGGTTTCCAAAAGCTCCTATGGCACGCCTGGTACTTGGCTCGCAAGCCTTTATGCAAGTCTTTCCAGCGATGATCGGAGCACCTCAGTAGAAAAACAAGGACAAACAATCTTGAAATATTTTGAGTATAGTATGTATAGTACATATCAAAATTCTAACAAGGAATGTTAAAGCAGGGGAGCAAGAGCCGATCAAGTGCCTCACAGTGTATCCTCACTCTCGGTTGACCTCTGCCATCGTGCAGGTCTCTGCGAACGCTGGACACTCAAACTAGCATAGCAAGCCCACATTTAGATATAACTGATGTCCTAAGGTCAAGGCACTCCGTGGAATGAAAGCGCCTCAGCTTTGATCAAATCGTGACACTTGACAGGGAACATTGAAAGTCTTCCAAGCCAAAGGTAAAAGTGGTCAGAAGAGATCATAGGGGTAGTGGTGTTTGCATTCAAAGAGACGAAACAGCAAGTTACGATCTACTTTGGTCGCGTGTGAGCCGCATGAGGGCGCCACAATGAAGGGAAACCATTGTCTCCGCATGCCTCTGCGTCTCTCTTCGTTGGAGGGTGTCAAAGGTCAAACACTGGCCAAGGTCCACTGAATATGTGAAGAGTAAAGCCTCTACCAACAAACAGATTGAATGCATCCGGTGAGTGAAGCCTCATCAGTGCCGAGCTTTCATCTCATGACTCATGAGCTGAAGGCCACCATCACATGCGAGGAATCAAACGAAGGCATGCTTGACAGGACATGCATGCCACCGAGGTCTGTTCCATTGCCCAATGGTTCCCGGAACAAGCAGGATTTGCTGTGGCTACTTGCGCGTGTCTTTTCCATTTTGAGCTAGTAGAAAGAGCCGGAGCGGCAAAGCGACAAGCCTCAACTTCACTCTCTGCACAGATTCTGTAGTCTGGCACACTTGCACCGGGCAAAGGCACCTTCGACTCGCTGAGAAATGTTCCTCTCTGTTTGCCCCATCAGTTGGGACATCGCCTGCGACAGCTTGGAAGCTTCTAGCCGCCGACAGGCTGAAAGAACGCCTTCGCCCTGAACAGTGTGTGTGTGTGTGTGTTTGTGCGTTTGTGCGTGTGTGAAATGCTTGGAGTCACAGGGCACAATTTGGTTTTGCAGGGGGGCAACCTCGTGAGCATAGCTGGCTGCCCAACGAAGAGGGCTATGCCACGACTGATATGGAGTCTGATCAACGCCACGTACCTGCTTCTTCTGAATCATCCTGTCGCTGACTTCGGGCGTTTCGCTTCTCGAGAACTTCGAGCTCGTTGGGACTCATAGAGGTTTTCATGTTCAGACCGCTTTACATACCTGTCCCTGGTTTCCTTGGGCGTTCATACTTATAGGTGATGCCAAGAGTAGCCCGCAGCGGGCCAGAGCAGGCTGAATGCCAGGAGTAGGCCACAGGGGCCGTAGCTTTTTCTAGGCCTGGTCGAGTCAAACCATGCGGGCCTTAAGTGCACACCAAACCAGGCTAGGGTTGCCGAGGTCCACTTAATGAGGTTTGGCTTTGTTGTTTCCCGGCCCTTCCATTTGGTCTCCCTTTTATCATTTTCCCTTCACACACATTGCTTTCCTTTTTCGTTTCATGTCTTCTCCGCAGAAATTTGTCCCGTCATCTCACTCCGTTCTTTCTTTTGCACCCACATCGGTCCGGCCCTTAGCATGCACGCGCACATCTACACTTAACTCAGGCTTTCGGTTGCCCAGGTTTTGATAATGAGGTATGGTTCACTGGTTGTCCCTGTGCATTTGGTTTGCCCTTCATCGCAACCACACACTTTCGTCTCGTCTCGTCCGCTTCTCACGTCTTCGCTTTTTGTCCTTTTTGCGCGCACACTTGCACATCCACACGAGGGGCGTGTGTGTGTGTGTGTGTGAAACCCTTGGAGTCACAGGACCTCGTGACACAGCTGGTTGCCCCGAAGAGGGCTACGCCGCCATGCCTGATGTGGGACTCGTACCTGCTCCACGTACCTGCTTCTTTTGAACTGTTGACCTAGCTGTGACTCCACTCTCCTTGAAACTGCGTCTGCAGGTGTGAGCGCTCGTCGTCATCCTGTCGCTGACTTCCCCCTTTGCGCTTTTCGAGAACTTCGAGCTCGTTGGGATTCATGGAGGTCTTCATGTTCAGGCCGCTTTACATACCTTATCCCTGGTTTCTTTAGGCGTTCATACTTGGGCGGGCGTGTAGCCAGTGGCTTCCAACTCAGTACGCATCTCCCGAGTGTGTGTGCGCGCGAAACCCTTGGAGTCAAAGGGAACCTTTTGGTTTTTCCAAGAAACCAGGGCAGCGTAAACGAAGACCGGGGGGACGCCTTCTGGACTTACCTGCTTGGCTGTGGCGTTTTGTAGTTACATCTCAATCTAACCTTCAGGCTGCTTAGGTGGAGGTAGGTCAGCAGACTCTGCACGTTTTCGCCGTCCTTGTCGATCGGAGGTTCTCATGGAAGTCTCATGGTCAGAACGCTTTACGTACCCTACTCCGTGTTTCTTGCGCTTTCCGCAAGTGGCTTTCAATTCAGTACGCATTTCCCGAGTGTGTGTGTGTGT